ATCAGGCCAGTGGCCCATCCAGTCCAACACTCTGTCACACAGTGGTCAAAAATACCAGGTGCCATCAGGAGGTCCAGCAGTGGGGCCAGAACACTAGAAGCCCTCCCACTGTTGCCCCCCCAAGCATCAAGAATACAGACCATCACTTCCCCCAGACCGAGAGTCTATACCTTGTGGCTAATAGCCACTGATGGACCTCTGTTCCATATGTTTATCCAATTCCTTCTTGAAGTCATCCATGCTTGTAGCCGCCACCACCTCCTGTGGCAGTGAATTCCATGTGTTAATTACTCTTTGGGTGAAGAAGTACTTCCTTTTATCTGTTCTAACCGGACTGCTCAGCAATTTCATTGAGTGCCTACGAGTTCTTGTATTGTGAGAAAGGGAGAAAAGTACTTCTTTCTCTACCTGCTGTCAGGTAGCCCTGTCATAGAGCTGGAATGTGGAGGGGGTTCACTCCTCTGCCTTACCAGCTCTTCCCTGTCTCGCACAGCTGGCTATCTGTAGAAATGACCTTGGTGGGTATTCTGTCTGTAAATCACCAGGCCTGGGAAATGTAACCATTTAGGCGCAAAAATGCTTGCTTGCTAGCTTTTGCCCATGTGCGCGGAAACCAACTATTGGCTGTTGCAGCTGGGGGGGCAGTTTGAATATTCTATAAGTCAGTGGCCATCATATTACAGGCCATTCCTAACATAAGCTGTACATGAGTTACTTTAGTACTGGAATTACCAAATACTTATCTTCTGAAGAAGCCTGAGTGTGTGTTCCTGACACCTGCTCTATCCCATGCATAATCTTGTAAACCTCAGTCATTGTTTCTCTAAGCTAAAGAGCCCTAAGCGCTTTAACCTTTCTTCATAGGGAAAGTGTTCCAACCCTTTTATCATTCAAGTTGCCCTTTTCTGCACTTTTTCCAATGCTATAATATCCTTTCTGAGGTGTGGTGACCAGAATTGCACACAGTATTCCAAATGAGGTTGCACCATGGATTTATACAGGGGCATTATGGTACTGGCTGATTTGTTTTCAATTCCCTTCCTAATAATCCCCAGCATAGCTTTGGCCTTTTTTATTGCAGTTGCACACTGTTTTGACATTTTCAGTGAGTTATCTGCTATGACTCTAAGATCTATCTCTGGTCAGTCTCTGCCAGTTCGGACCCCATTGACGTGTATTTATAGTTAGGATTTTCGGCTCCAATGTGCATCACTTTGCACTTGGCCACATTGGACCCCATTTGCCACATTGATGCCCACTCGCCCATCCTCGACAGATCCCTTTGGAGTGCCTCACAATCCTCCCTGGTTTTAACCACCCTGAACAATTTCTTGTGATCTGCAAATTTAGTCACTTCACTGCTTACTCCCAACTCCAAATCATTAATAAACAGGTTAAAAAGCATCAGACCCAGTACTGAGCCCTGCGGTACCCCACTGCTTACCACCCTCCACTGTGAAAATTGCCTGTTTATACTCACTCTCTGTTTCCTATTAACTAGCCAGTTTTTGATCCACAAGAGGACTTGTCCTTTTATCCCATGACTATTGAGCTTATTTAGGAGCCTTTGATGAGGAACTTTATGAAATGCTTTCTGGAAGTCAAGGTAAACAACATCTATTGAGTCACCCTTGTCCACATGTTTGTTCGCCCCCTCAAAGAACACTAACAGGTTAGTGAGACACGATCTTCCCTTACAGAACCCATGCTGAGTCTTTCTCAATAGGTTATGTTCTTCAATGTGCCTACTAATTCTTTCCTCTTTTTTTTTTATAATAAAGATTTTATTGGCTCCCCTAAAAAGGGGAGGTATTTCGCTTAAAAGAAAAAATGGGAAGGGTAGACAGTGGGAGAAAGAGAAAGCTGAGTGATATATAAACTGGTAAATTAAACTGTTAGTAATGTCCAATTAATCTTCTTGGGCTTCTTCTGTGTGTTGTCAAACTTCTTTTCCTAGTCCTGTCACATGTAATTCTCTGTTAGTATGTTAGTAATGTTCCTTTGAATTTCTGTTAATAAAAAAAAATCTCTTCTGGGCACATTCAGAACCGCTTCTTTGCGTGCTGGGTACTTTTACTATCGCTGACGTGGAGGAGCTTCCTCTGTTGTCTTCTCCTTCCGGCCTGTTAGATCCTCCTTCGGGTTGCTGTTAACACTCTCAGTTCATGCACTATAAATCCTCTTCCTTTCATACCATTACTGGAGGTCCCCAGCTTTGAGAATGGTATTAATTTCATTTTCGCTTTTATATCCGCTCCCAAACTCTCTACTGGGTCCTCCTCGCAACTGTTGACTTAT